GAGTCCACATTCCACCCTCAATCGACAGAGTAGAGCTCTGGACACGAACAGGAAGAGGGAGGCGTGTCCGGTGATATGCATATACTTCCTAATCTTAAATTCTGTTCTTTATCCATCTCCAAATTGTTGGTCTTCCCCCTTTGCTATGCATCAAATTGATTTCGTCTGCTTTCACTTACCTAGCCTTTTTGCCCTTGTTTTTATAGGACACCCCTAATCCTGTTCCATTGCTGGTGCCCCAGTCCATTCACGATGCTATAACCAAGTGCTACCTCCCTGGTGGCCTAGGCACATCCAATTTCTTTTTCCTGAAAGATCCAGAGATTGAAAGGCGGGCATGAGCATGCTCAGGATCTAGTGCTCGCTTCTGGATTGCAGATCACCTTATTTGTTTGTATTTCTGTTGCTTGCACACAGTGCAAACAAGTCTCCATGACTTTGGAAGGACCGTGAATTATGAAGTCATCGAAGCTTTAGCAAATTATCTCATTTATGAAAAGCCCATCTTTTCAACATCCAAATCATGCCCCACAGACCTTGACTTCTAATACCGCCGTGCTGGGGTAGGACCGTGGAGTCTCGGGATGTGACTTTTGGGAGCAGATGTTCAGTCCCTAACAGTAGGCCACCTCTTTTTGTATTCTCTGGAATTCAGCGCAGGCATCATTCTTACAGGAAGCCTTCCCTGGTTTAAGCAATTGAATTAGCACTCTTCACCTGATGCTTACCTGTAGCACACACTGTTTTGATAGTCAACATCTTTTAAGATGGTCTAAAAGGCAGCACTCATGTGGCTTATGCCTGCTAAGTGAGTAAGAACTGAGGCTTCACCTCATTTGTACACCAAATCACATGTGTTGTTTTCTTGGAGGGACCTGCTTTCTGGGTCCAAATTTGTCACTGTAAAACACAAGCATCGTGTCATGTGGTATCTTAGCCTTATTTTTTTTTTCTTCTTCTTCTTTCAGCCTGGGACTTCTAAATGTTTTTATTCAGTAATAATTTTGTTTACTTACACTGTGTTGTGTCTTGCATGGGAACGTCTGATGTTTCCACCCTTCTCATGCCTAAGCAGGGTGGTGTGCAACTTTCCTCTAACCACCTGTGTTGCTGGGCTGGTCAAATGGGGAGCTTGATGGTATTTACATTGTTTCTTAAGTTAAACTAGGTATAGAGAAGTATACGTTATTTAAATGCATTTAGTCCCAGCACTCAGGGGGCTGGAGGAGGTGGACCACTGTGAGTTCGAGGCTAGCCTGGTCTACAAAGCAAGTCCAGGACAGGCAAGGATACACAGAGAAACCATGTCTCGGAGGACAATTTTTTTTTTTTTTTTATAAAACACATCAGTTGTTGATTTTGTTCTATTTTATGAATTAAAAAAAATCTTGTGTTAGGTAAGTACACAGTCACACAAAATGGAAAGAAGTACCATTATTAAGATAAGCGGGTACATAGATAAAAATTGTTATCCTGATTGGGTTCACATGACAGATGGAAACTAGACTCTTGACTAATCTGTGGGACTTCATGAATGAAGTCAATTAAAGTTTGGAAAAGCTATTTATTATGAGATAAAAATGCAATTAGTGCTGATAAAATGCTGGTGGGGTTCTGATTATAACGAAGCAGCTGTGGATTTCTGGGAGTTGGCAACTGGGCGGGGTGGCTTATATTTTATCTCTCCTTTTCCAATATACGGAAATCTCTTACTCGGTAATTTCCGGGTTAGGGAACCTTGCCTGAGCTGAGCTGAGGCCTATCAGATACTAACAGACCCATGTCCAGAGCTGGGAGAGCTGGGTTGTGTCTAGGAAGCAAGCTGAGTGAGGAATGGAAAGTGGATGGCAACATAAATGCTTCTCTCTCTCTCTCGCTCTCTCTCTCTCTAAATAAGCATCCTCAAGTAAGGATCCTTTTGCTTATCTCACCTCTTTTTGTAATGATGACACCCCCCACACCAGGGAGAAAAAGAAATGCTTTTCTATAGTTAAAAGTTTACATCAGTCATGCTAGTTAAATATCTGTTAAGACTGTCCTTATTTTCCCCCAATAGATTAAGTTACAAGTTTACAAGTGTGAGAAAATTTCTCTCCCACTTGGTTGCTGTGAAATATATTTTTAAAAGTGTCAGAGGAGGGAAGCTAGCTTTCGGGCTCACACAGAGGGCTTTCGTAGTTCTGGGGCTGCATATGAAGTCGATTACCAGCAAGGTGGCTGTTGAGTGTTCTGAGGGGACCTCTGATTCATCTAAAAACTAGGTCGCACTCCACTGTGACAAATACCATTCCACAGATAAACTAGGGGGCAAAAATGCTCAAAGACTCTGGTACTAGTCACCTTACTACACAAAGTACAGGTAAAGAGAATTTGGTAAAAACCCCTGTCAGTAGGCTCGAGAATTCTTTAAAATAGACTCAGCTCCCTTGTTTAGCTGGTACAGCAAGCTAAATGAATAGCACAGCTCTCGGAGTTGAGGACTTGCCTGTATGCTGGTGAGCAATAGCAGGAGGTACAGCCTGGCCTCAAATTTAACCACTCTTGGCTTTAGACTCCGTACATAAGCTGGAGGGAGTTCTTGTGAGGCCCTGGGAGCCTGCGCTTTAGCAACTCTCCCAGGTGGCATTTGCTGCATGCTTTGGGGAAAGCCTTGGGGACTGGACTCTCTGTAAATCCCAAATAGAAATTTGTTTCAGTTAAGGGCATCAAACAGGTGACGTTATCGCTAGAGAGCCAACCAACCTGGTGCAGTTAACAAGAGGTAATAGGTTCTTCCTAAAATATATAGTCAGGCCACTGGAATTAATCCAAGCTGTGGACTTGGCATCTCAATTTGTTCCATTCAATAGCCTTGGTAGTATTTATCACCTATGAATTATTTTTGGCCTTTGAAAATCTATTTTCACAAGCTATGTGGATACTTCCCTCTGTTACAGCATGCTGTTATGGTTAATGATTTATGTCCCTGCATTGTTTTGGTTTTTTTTTTCCCCCTTGTTTAAAAAAAAAAAAAAATGAACCTAAGATGGACTGGATGGCCCAGGCCTGTAATCCCACCACCTCGAAGGCGAGGCAGGAGGTTCAAGGTCATCCTCAGCTAAATAAGAAAGGTGGGGGCCAAACTCCACCAGTGTGGCGGCTTATACAGGCCTTCTCAGCAACCGCCGGAAAAGAATCGTGTAAATCGTGGTGCTTCTGAGGTGGGAAGCTTTTCTGCTCAGACTATCCAGGGGCTTGGTCTCACAGTTTGTTTTCTGAAAAAGCATGCGACATGCAAATTAGGCTTGAGAACACTGGTTTCATGACAGCAGAAGGAACTCTGGGGCCTGTTTTCCTTCCTTAGGCATCTTTGCACTTCGATCTGCTCAGGACCACTGGACCATTGTTGTGGTAGGCTCGGGGTGCCCCTGAAACTGAATCTTGAGCTAGGCAGCCTCTGATAGGGGCAGTGTGATGAATCGTGTCTGAGACTGCTAATGCGGGCCCTCCCTGGCTGAGAAGCCAGAGGCACCCCACATACAGACAAAGGCGAGGTTCTCTCTAAGTGGCAGCTCGACCACCTCTACGAAGAGTAAAGCATAACTACTTGGCATGTGTTCCTATCTGTTGGCCAGGAGAGCTGTTAAATGGGGGATTTTGGAAAGCTTAATATTTAAGACTCTTGAGAGCCGGGCATGGTGGAGCATGCCCATAATCCCAGCCCTTGGGACACTGAGAGAGGATCATAAATTCCAGGCCAACCTAGACCACACAGGGAGACCATGTGTGTGTGTGTGTGAAGACTCTTGAACTACCTCGAGACATTACTGAGTAGTGAGTGAGCTTGGCAAGGCTGAACAATGACCTGCTAGCTGGTCCAGTCTGAAAACACTGATGTCAAATTCGAGGTGGCAAAAACATCGCGTATTTGACTTAGGGACAAAGGCTTATTTAAACTTAAAAAACCCTTAAGGGAAATTAGGTTTCAGACTCTGTGGCATATGCCTAAATTGTCCAAAGCGTTAGTTAGAGCTCCCTTCTTCTAAAACACCGATTCTCAGCCTTCCGAATGCTGCAGCCCTCTAAGACAGTTCCTCATGTTGGGTGGACGCCCCCCCCCCCCAACCATAAAACTGTTTTTGTTGCTACTTCATAACGGTAATTTTGCTACTCTTATGAATCAGAACGTACATATCTGTGTTTTCTGATATGAATCCTTTGTTGGACCCCGAAGGGGTCACGATCCACAGGTTGAGAACCCCTGTTTGATCTGGGACCACGTAGATGTTGGCTCTCTTTTCTGGTCAAGTCTCGCATCGTGCCCCTGAGCCCCTCACGCCCAGCCCTTTTTCGCGGAGGCAGACCTAGCGTTCTCGCGTCTCTGCTACGCGTAAAGTTGGTCCAGGTGACACCCTATAGCCTTTCTCCTTAGGCCCTGTCGGTTCACCACATGCTGAGACAGCCGTCTGAGTGCTCTTCATCACTGAAGGAGGAGAAAGGTCGTGAACAAGCTGAGCAGGGGCTAGGCACGTCATTTTTTTTTTTTTTTTTTTTTTTTTTTTTTGACAGTGCTCTTTAAAGCATGGACCAGGAGAAGCTTCATCACCACTTGGGGTCTTGTGAGAAACGCAGGACCTTGAGGCTCCACCCCAGACTTGAACAAGACTCCCAGGTGATTCTTATTTAAGCTAGGATCGGAGAAACCGATCGATGGAGAAATTGATCAACTGGACGTCATTCATCCGCGGAAATAAGGGACTCAGCCCCCTCGCGCCCGCCTCGCACCGGCTCCACTCGGCAGCAACCGAAGCCCTGGGGACCTCGGAGCCAGGCGCTTGCCGAGGGCAATTTGGTGATTGGCTTGTGCGGCCACGTGACCAGCGCGGAGCCTTCCACGCGACCGGATTGGTTCTCGCGGACGTTGACGGACAGGGCCGGGGCGGGCCAGAGCCCGGTCGAGGGGCGCCCGCGGGGGCCGGAGGGGCGAAGGCGCGAGAGCGTGAGTGCGCGTGCGCGAGCGGCGGGGCTTTCTCCGGAGCCGTCGGAGGGAGCCGGAGCGCTTCTCCCGAGGTGAGCGGAGCGGGGCCGTCGGTCTGATGCCGGGTCCCGGGGAGCGGCGGGGGATGGCTCGGGGTTCACCTGCCCCGGGAGCCCCGCATTGGGGGAGGAGGCGGCCCCGGCTCATTCGCCAGCCTCCCGTGCCTCGGTTTCCCTTTTCCCACCCTCTGATACATCTCCCCCATCCTCCCCTCAGCGGCCGCGGCTGTGCCCGGGGAGGCTTGCCCACCTGGCCGCTTCGCCTCCGCCTTTGTTTCCCGCCCCGGAGGGATGCTGCCACCGGTCGCCTCCCCAAGGGAAGGGCTCGGGAGGCGCCGCGGGGGCGCCACGGGCGCTGGACTAGGTCCGGGGGGAAGGTGGCTTCCATGCTGCGGGACCTGTCGCTTGGGAGAAAGAAAGGGGGAGAAGCGTAGTGTCACTTTGGTTCGAGCCCTTGAGACCCGAACTAATCCGGCGACTGCGAGCGAAGCGGAATTCCTAGCGCAGCTGATGATCCTTCTGCCTCGGTGCGGGCGCTGGCTTCGCGGGGAGGCTGAGCCTGAGCAGCCCCGGGAAGGGTGCCCTGTCCGTTTGCTGAACCTCGAGCCTGCCCTCACCCAGACTTCACCGACACACAACGCTCGGAGCCTACGGAGGGAACACGGATATGCGTTAAAAAGCTTAATTAAAAAAAAAAAAAAAAAGCAGTTGGATAGAGCAGGTCACACACACACACACACACACACACACAAAGGGGGGGGGGTTCCAGAGACAGTGTAACCGATGACTGAGAAACGGCGAGGGATTCGCCCGCAGTGAACTGCAGACCAGACAGCGCGCCGGAGAGGTTTCAAGAAGGGTGGGGGGTGGGTTCTGTGACTTTGTGAGGGTACTTCTTTTCAGCCTGTCTGGAGGGCAGCAAGAGAGGGGAGGTAGAGTCTAAGATGCACTTTCTAGTTTTTTTGAAAAAGTGCATGTTAAAAAAAAAAAAAAAGACCACTTGGGGCGGGGTGTGGGGTGGGGAGGAATTGGGGGAGGATATCTTCTTGAACCATTTAAAAAGGGGAGGGCGTGCCCAGGAGTTAAACGTGGTGGTCAACAGGCAGGTTCCCTTGAGTAAGCGTCTCCCCAGACACACAGTAGCAATGACACGCAGGACATCTTATGGCGAAACTTAAAAGATCCCTTGAGTTTGCCACTGGTTGACTAATTTGATGCACCCGGTATGGTAAAGCTGGCTCAGCCAAGGGCCAGTAAGATTCTCCTGTGCTCCCGAGTTTCAGTGCAACCCATTCGTAACTTATGTTCCTCAGTCTCTGCCTGACTCTTTGGAGACATTCTGATACTGCTGAAAAGCCTTCCCTTCCCTGTGTGAAGCTGATTTTTCTCCTAGACAGCTAAAACGGTCATACCTGGTGCCAGCAAAATATTCAGTTTAATTTACTGAATTACACAATACTCAGTTAACTTACTTGCTGCAAATTCAGTTCACTGGGAAAGATATTATTTTTTATTTTGAGAAGGCACCTCTTCCAATTGTTAGACTAGAGGAATCAGACTCAGGATTCACAGCAGCACCGAGTAAACTTTTGGTGGTTTCCTGAGATGAAAGTAAAAGAACGGAATCTGCTGTGAAGCCCAGGGGATGCTGGGAATGCCACAGATGACCCCAGTAAAATGCTGTAAAGGTTCTCATCTGATAGGCAGAGACGCAGATTAGCAGAGATAACTTAAAACTAGAAGGCTTATATACACTGTGGAGAGAAAAGGGTTTTGAGGAATGAAGGAGGTGGCGTGTTTTGAGAAAAGCATGCATTTTTGCTTTTAGAGAAAGAAGCTGTTACTGCATTAAGCTGTGTGTAAGACACGTGGAGGGCATGGATGTGTGTTTAACTGGAGGAAGTGGGGTCAGCTGTTTCATAGAGGCAAAAAAAAAACAAAAAACAAAACACAAAACAACAACTCTGGCTAGGACCTAAAGGGCCAGGCGAAGAATTGACAGGCACAGTTCAACTCGCCTCTCCGACCTGTAAGGCAGGGGTTTTTAACCTTGGATTTGATAAAAAGCCCTCGCTTCTGCTTTCAAGATGGCTACAAAATCCTCTTCTTTCTGTTGTTTCTGTCCCCCTGGGTCATGGACAAGGAGGATGAAGAACTAAGGAGAGAGATTATAGTCAGACCTGCATGCCTAAGCAGGCATGCCCTCTGAAGAGGATCTGTGTCACATTGTATAAATGTAAGACCCTTCACCCTGGTGAGTGCCTGGGAGAATTCCTTAGGGTGTACACTGTAAGATGAAGCTGTCTTACGCTGCCACAAGTGGGGTGCTGGGTGAACCCATCTGCTGGGGCGAAGGAGTGCCTGGAATGGCTGAGTTCAGCTGGGCTCTGCTTCCTGATGGAGAGATGTTTCTAGGCAAAGCTGCCTCGTTGTCAGCTTGTCTGGCTGGCCTTCTAATGGCTTCTAGAGGACCATACTGACACGACAGAGGATCCTAGTGAGCTTGTGGGTCTCAGGCTGTGTCGTTTACACCTGTAATGCGCTATGGAAGAGAGCCGCACTGTCATTCAAATCTAGGATGCCTGTCTCTCCAAGTTCTTAGCTCATGTCACCTACAGGTTTCCCTCAAACAAGTTGTACCGTCCCAACCAGTAGATGGCACTCTTGCCTCTGGGAATTCCTCAGTAGGATGACTTTGGAGCTGTCAGCTTCAGTGGGGATTCAGTGTAGGTTTTGATAGGCTCCTTGTTCTCATTGTAATAATAATAATAATAATTTTTGAGAACTTACATTTTTATATAATACAGGAATAATGGGATAAAATCAGGATTCTCTCTTGTGTGTGTCTGTGTGTGTGTGTGTGTGTGTGTGTGTGTGTGTGTGTCCTGAGAAGATACTGAGCGGCATAAATTGAGGAGCGTCATAGTACAAGCTTTAAGAACACTGGTTACACAGACATGATGTTGAGGTTACAAGTTGATGTTCATTCCAAAGACTCTGTTTCTAATTTTTTGCATGCAAAGCTAGTCCCCACACAAGCACGACTCTATGAAGTGTGCATGTGGTTTAAAACCCAGTCTGTAGTCGGTAGCACATGTCCTGAAGGCAGCAGGGAGAGTATCCGTGAAAATAATGTTCAGTCAGTATATCCCAAGACTGTCCGCGAAAGGTAGGTCAAATCACTAGAAATCAGTTTCTTTTAAAACTTGGGAATTTTTCTAACAAGTGTCTGTAACAGTTGCCTTAGCTAGTGATGACCTTCAAGCCTGTAGTAACCACTCAAAACTTGAACTTGCAAAACCTACTTTCAGCAGGAGTTTATTCATAACATCTCCCAGTTTTGAAATAACTGATTATTTTGTTCTTTCTTTAAAAACTGCTTTCTGAGGTGGGTTTTGCGGACGCTGAATTCAAGGGAAGTAGGCCCGTTAGCCAGCAGTGGAGAAGTCACAGTGCAGGGGAAGGTTTTAGCCCTGAAGCTACCCAAGCTCTAGCACACTGGGAGCCGTCACCCCGTCACCTGCTCTTTGTACAGCTGCCGTCCTGCAGGTCAGCTGTACAAAGAGTCTTTGGGGGTTTATTCCTGTGTGAGTTGATAAACTGTTTTGTTTTGTTTTTGCTTTTTTTTTTTTTTCTGTCAGTGACAAATCCTAAAATCTCACTGGCACAAGACAGCACTAGTCACAAATCATTGACACTGCCTCATTTAGTAGCCATAAATCAGTCTGTCTTTCTGCCTGTTGTTTTTCTCATGTTTATTGGATCTGTCAGGTGAATGCAACTTAAACATCTTTCCACGTCGGAAGTTCTTTGGCTCGGTAATTCCCATAAGGTATTTCTGAAGCCTCCAGGCAATGCACACGTCAGTGGTGTGTTCACGCTGTGAAGCCAGGATGAGAAGACAGCTCCCTGCAATTCTTCAATGAAAACTGTGGTGCTTCCGTTAGGGTCCTACAGTTCAGAGGTGGCAGAACCCCTAGGAGCAGTTTAGCTTAACCTTCCCACCTTTTAACTCAAACTGAGTTTCTTAACAAGCCTGATAGTGGTCGAGGGTATGTGGGTGAGCTGGAGGCCAGAGGTGGAAGTTGGGTGTCTTTCTCAGTCACTTTCCACCTTAGTTTTTGAGAGACCCTCACTGAGCCTGGAGGTGACTGGTTTGGGAAGGTGAGCCCCAGAGGTCCCTCTGACTGGATTAATGGCTAATGGCAGGATTAGAGACATGTGCCTCCACATCTGGACGCTGTTATTAATGTTCATGTTGGGGGAATGAACTCAAGTCCTCACCAGTCGTTTCTCCAGCTCTAGCATAGTCTGAGAAGCGGGCCTTTGGCTTCAACAGAGTGCCAGATGGATCTGCAGCACAAAGGTGGGATAAGAATGTGACTGTCTAGAGTAGCTTCTTGAAAACTTCTACTGGGACAGGGTCCCCGGACAGCCCTGGCTGCTGTTGAACTTGCTGTGTGGCCAGTGTGCCTAGAAGTTGCGATTCTTCTCCCAAGTGCTGGTATTATAAGTGTGTGCATCACGACACCAGGATTTAAGAGCGAGTGTCCATGTGTGTCTGTGTGTTTCCATGCATGAGCACACACATGCATAGATGCATGAATGCACAGAGGCCAGGGGATAATTTTGGGGTGTCACTTCTCAGGATCCTTCTACATTGTTTTTTTTTTTGTTTGGTTGGTTTTTGTTTGTTTTTTGAGACAGGTTCTCTCTCTGGCCTGGAGTTCCAGGGTTTTGTTAGGCTCGCTGGCTAGTGAACCCCAGATCTTATTGTCTCTGCCTTCTGGTGCTGATATTTCATGTGTGTACCACCAGACCCAGCCTTTTTTCTGTGGTTTCCAGGTCGTGAACTCAGTTTACCACCCAGGCTACCTTCTCAGCCCCAAAGAGAGAATTCTTGATTGATAAGCTAACATTATGCTAGGCAAAGGAAAAAAAAAAAAAAAGTTGGGAATGGAATGCAGAAATTAAGCTGTGAAAGTTTAGGATATTGTACCTTTATTAAAATTGTTCCCCAATTGAAGAGGCTACAGTTGCATTTTACCCATCTTAATAATGGATGTGTAAGTATTGATTTCCATTTATCATTCCTTTCTCGGTAGCCTCCTAATTTCACCAGAATGCTTTCAAGTTCATGCTGCTTTCCTGGCAGTGTCATGCATACTAAGGGGCTCCCAGCTCTTATTACCCAATTTGAGGTCCACATATTCATTACCTTTCTGATTTATGACCCGAACGATTTTAAGTTCTGATTTGCATATATTAAGTACACATAATGGCTTTTATTATAACATTCTCCTATGCATATACTTTGATCCTGTTTGCCCCACTACTATCCTCTCTTGTTTCTCTTCCGCTCCTGATAACCCCTTTCCTCTTCCCAGCTAATCCCTAGCCTCTACTATCTTGTCTTGTGTGGCATGTAGGCGGGCGTATGCACGTACCTGTTTGGTTAAAGGAGCTTGAGTGAGAGTTTATTCACGGGAGCATGAAAAACTTACCCATGGCTACACTACTGGAAAAAAAAAAAGCTCTTCCCTTTGTCCCTTTCCAGCAAGCATTAATTGCCTCTAGATCCCCAAGGAGGGATGGGTCTTGTGAGGCCCTCACCCCTGGTATTCCTCAGATGCCTACAAATCCTTAGTGAGGGGCAGGGCTTCCCAACCTGTGACAGCTCGGCATGAAGTTTAGACTCATGGTGGCACATGCCTCTAATCCCAGCACTCAGGAGACAGGGGTAGGTGGATTACTGTGAGTTCGAGGCCAGCCTGGTTTACAAAGTGAGTCCAGGACAGCCCAGGCCATACAGAGAAACCCTGTAACTAGTTACCTTTATTAGTACCCAACATGTACTGTGGCTAATTACCGTATTTCCCTAACTATTGACAGTCCCAAATACTTTCTTTTTCTAATTGTCTTTAAATAGGAGGGACTCAGAATTTGTATGGATTGGAAATAAAAATTCTGACTGTTACCAGAGGCTATACAGACATTACTTTGTGTTCCATTCCCACCTTTGACACACAAGAAGCAATTTGTTGTTGTGGGAACTGTTACCTGGCAACCCCCCAGATCCGTGTCCTGTGATAGCTTGCTTACCGTTGTACTGCAGTGCCCTATGCTGGTAGAAGCCACCTTCTGCCTTTTTAGTGATAAGGCAGAGTGATCTTTGTTTTTGCTTTTGTAGAAGAATAACAATTTTTGTTCCTTCTCAGTTTATAGAGTGAATTTATATGCTAGAGAACAAAGTCAGATTGTTGCTTCCAAGGGCAAATTTCTGCTACTAAGTTGTTATGAAATTTGGTAGGGAAAGGGACACCCATCACCTCCCTGATTTCAAAGGAGGAAAAGGAGCAGTGACCTCTTAAGTTCCAACTTTTTCTGAACCTGTGTGACTCCGAGGAATTGTATCTGGTACCCAGGCTCAGTAGGTCTTTAAAATGCCCACTAGTTGAAAGTGCATTCAGAACCAGAAACAGTGCTTATATGTGAAAGTCACTTTGTGTACCAAGTTTGCCAAATATTCTTTAATCTTATATCCTAACTGCAGTCTTCCCTTCCTCCTCTTCTCCCCAGTCCTCCCCATCTCCAAACCTCTAGTTCAATAACAGAGTGGCCACGGAACAGCAGCAGCAGGAGCCCATAGAGCAGCCATTCTCAACCCGTGGGTCACAACCCTTTGGGATTGAACAACTCTTTCACGGGCTTCACATGTCCAATATCCTGCATATAGATGTTTACATTACAACTCATAACAGTAGAAAAGTTACAGTTGTGAAGTGGCAATGAAAATAATTTTATGGTCACCACAACACGAGGAACTGTACGAAAGGGTCAAAGCATTAGGAAGGTTGAGAACCACTGCCCTGGGGCTTGTTAGAATTGCAGAATGTCAAGCCTCACCCATGACCTTTCAACTCAGAGCCTACATTTTACCAAGATGCCTTGATGACATGCATGTGGGGTGAGTCTGAGAAGCGTGGCTCCCTCTCACGTGGAGTCTTATGCAGACCTTGCAAGGGAGGCGGGATGTTTTACAAAAGAGAAAGCTGAGACCCGGAGTTGTAAAGTAGCTAGGTCAAGGTCCCCGTGATAGCATCATACTCAGAGTGCTCTGTTCTAAACCTGAGGCTGCTGTGATTGGACTGGAGTGAGCCTGACCCAAGGCCGCTGACTTGCCAGCCCATGGGGTTAAGTGTGACTGTATGACTTTGAGCAGCCCACAGAAAGTGAGCAGAAATGGAAAGGTGGATCCCGGATACCGCTTGAGGGGAGAGCGGGACTGAGCTACTGTACATACCCCTGTGCCCGTGTAGACACACGTGCACCCCAAATGCCTTTGCGAGTCCTTCCGTGCTGTTCTCCACCCGCAGCTCACTGGAATGGGGAGAGCCCCTTGTAGCGGTTCTCAGCCTTCCCAATGCTTCGGCCCCTTTAATACAGTTCCTCATGCTGAGACCCCCTCCCCAGTCATAAGATTGTTTTCATTGCTACTTCACAACTGTAATTTTACAACTGCTGTGGATCATTGTGTAAATATCTGTTTGTTTGTTTGTTTGTTTGTTTGTTTTTCTGATGGTCTTGAATGATCCCTTTGAATGGGTCATTCAGTCTCCAAAGGGTTCAACCTCCAAAGCAGTTGTGACCCACAGGTTGAGAACTGTCACCTCAGGGGATTCTTGGCGATCATAGTGTAAAGATGTAGGACCCACAGCAGCCCAAGTCCTTTGGTTTCTACATCAAACCCATCATCCCTCTTGACTTTCCACCTACCTAGGATGTTTATGGGAACCTTTTGTATTGACCATGAACCACGCCAGAGGCGGGGGTCCGTGTGTTAAGCGTGAAATCTGTCTTTAACAGATTCATTTGACCAATGGCTTTGGAGATGAAGTTGTGGATAAATTGGCCTCCTGTGTCCATTCGCTTTTGTCTTTGGCAGATCGCCTGGCTGTGGTCCAGCATGCAGAGGTGAGCCCGTGGTGAAAAGCGGCAGAACCGATGGTTTGCGGGGATGTAAGAGCATTTGAAGGCTTCCACACCCTCTCCTCCAGGGTAAGGCACACACCCTCCCTGTTCTACCGGCTTTCCCGAATCATAGCTGCTCTTGTCTCACCAGCGTCTTGCAGTCGGTGCAGTGGGGTGCTCTGTCTGTGAAAGGCTTCTAAAGCCTTCTTTATTCAGATCGTGGATTCAAATCAACAAGCATGAGAAACGGTGACCGAGGGAGGGGGTGAGCTGTGCGCGTGGAGATATCTCTACACAGGGCTGTTGAGTGGGTTTGTATGGGGTGTGGTTTGTAGAAGCAGGCTTGTTCTGGCTCTCTGAAAGAGCAGGGCAGCAGACGAACCGAGACCAGCTGCCTTTTACCTGAAGCCATATCATGTTGTGAATAGTCTGGTCAGATGTCCCTTCCCACGCTCCTCCTTCTCCATGCATCACTCACCGAACTTTCCCTTTCCTGACCGCTCCGTTCACGAAGGAAGTAGCTTGTCAGAGCTGAAGTCCCCAGGTGGTCCATAGCAGCTTAAATCACGGCGTTCTGCCCACTCCACAGTTTGCCATCTGGTATCTCTGGAAGTCACATAAGCAGTCACTGAGCTGCTTGTAGTTGCTGGTACCCTGTGTGTGACTATGGGGAATTTGTAAGCAAACCTGGATGTTTTATTTATGGCAGAAATAAAAGAAATCAATTCCAGACTAGTAGGAGATAGTGTTTGGTGAGCCCTTCTGGGTCTAGGTGGAGGTCCAGGGAAGAAAGAATTCTGCTTTCCTGTGCTCGCTCCCCAGCTTCTGCACTTGAACAAAATCGGATTCCTGGAAGGAGAAATCATGACTAATACTATTCCAAGCAGAGCTAAGAATGGTCACAGAGGGGCGGGAGCATGGTGGGCTTTTTCGTTGTCGTCGTTGTCGTCGCTGCTCAGCTTTAACCTGGAGGGAGGACTGTTTTCAGCCAGTGGGTTCAAGGCTGCCGTGAGGCCTTGCTAGACTGATGGCACCCAGAAAGTCTGCCTGTGGTTCCATGCCTCATGTGGCTCACTAATGAGTACAATTTACTGAACAAAATAGATGATTAAGGGCTGCAGATCCCCGGAGGTTCCCGTAAGCGTGAGTCGTTGCCGCTCTCGAGTGGCTCACGCGCCTGGGGAGGGAGCAGGGAGACACAGCTGTAAGGCAGGCCAGCTATAGAAGAGTCCAGGTGACCACCTGGCACAGACCTCTCGGCCCATGGCCTGGAGGTCACTCACGACAGGAATGTTCCTTGTTAAAATTTTATGCCTGAGAGAGTTTTGCTTAACACGGGGCTCCTCTCCTTTTTATCTGTGGCTCTCATGTAGCCTCTATTCTAAATGTATCTAAGAAGTATTTTACATTAAAAAACTACAACTGACTGGCATGTTTCTGTGTGAATACTGTATAAGGAGATAACTATTCTTTAACCATTAATAATAAGGGGCCAAAAAAAATGGTGTAAGAGTTGCCAGTGTGCCAGGCAGTATTGATTTCAATGAAGCAGTGTTTGTATGGGCTGTTGCTATGCATTATGGGATGTGTACTGTGCCCTTGCCCTTAGCCTCTGCCCACTAAATGCCAGTAGCTCTCCAAGCAATCATGACCATCAAAAAATGTCTCTGAGTATTGTTAAATGTCTCCTGGGAGACAAAATTGCCACAGCTGAAGGAACACAGTGACTTAATATTGTTCTGAATTTCTCTCTAATTCTTCCCTCCCCTTCCCCAGTTTCCCTTCCTATAAAAACAGGCATACCCCATAGTAACTCATCCCGAGGAAGCAAGGTGCATAGTACTGTGTGGTTGATCAGGGTTTCTATAAATGCTAAATGAAAACTATCTCTCCTGATACTTAGGGCCCAAGAACCCCCCCCCCCCCCGATCATCATGATAACAGTAACAGTGGTGGCGGTGGGGTACGGGAATGGGAATTGAGGAGGGGTGCAGTTCAGTGATGCGGGCTTTCATGGGCAGCGCTGGCTTCTGAGGTATCTGAAGATGTCATTGTTCCAGCTCACTGCAGCAATATATTCTGGATGAAAGCTTTTCCTTTGCAAAGTTAAGGACCAACAGAGGGCACGAGACAAAAAGATGGCCGTTCCAAAGAGTAGTCATAGAAATTGCATCTGACAGCGTGATTGCTTAATGTTAAAGTGACTCACCCACAGTAAGACCAAAGGACATAGAGCGGCAATCGCCAAAACCAAAGTTTCCTCCTGAGTGACCGACAACCCAGACCAGTTTTTACAAGTCCTATAAAGATGGAGACTGTGTAGAGAAACTCTCCCTTATCCTAAACCCTTTGTGCTCTTTTTCCCTTTTTGTTTCTGAGCGTATGAAATATGGGAAGAGACTGTCCTCCGTGTACTCCCGCAGAGTGATAAATAACGTGTTTTCCGATGGCATGTTTTCTGTGGTGTTTTCCAGTGCTATGTCTTGGAAAAATGAAAGGAGGCCATAACTGTGAAGTCATCTGAAATAACCTATGTTGCTTTAGCAAAGAGCCTCAGTCCCACTAAAGGACGGAGCCACTGCAGACTGCTGAGGTTTCTTTTGCGTTCTCTTCGCTGTGTTTCTGGTCCATACACAATTTGCAGCTGTTTTCTACGTAAGATCTAATGTGTGTGGAGGCCATTGTAGACAGTCTGGTTTCTTTGGCTTCTGGGGTGTGTGTGTGTGTGTGTGTGTGTGCAGAAGAAATGCCTGGGAAAGAGTTTGTGAACCTGGAAAAATGAGGCTCTTCCATGAAAAGAGGGATGACAAGTACAGGCCTTTTCTTGGTAGGAGTAGGGCAGTGTTTGTTGTTTTTCTCTAGGCCAGTCTTCAGGATTGCCTGGTTTCTTGTTACCTCCTGAGCCAGATCTCTCAAGAGTGTGGACCTCACGGTCTAAATTAACAAGGCCCCAGGGTGACTGCTGGAGAATCCGTGTTCCTTCACATGGCTTCTGATACCTGTGGCACCTTACATGGATATCTCTGTGTCCGTGGTGGGGAAGGCATGAAGTGTTTTTGCAAGCTCTCAGAACACACATAGGACTTTCTCATGTTAATATGCCACGCTATTTCCCAAAATGGTCTAAATTTTGTCCTAATAGTAGCCACTATCCCCATGTGACTATTTAAATTATTTAGGCTAATAATTCAGGTTTTCATTTGATCTTGCCACAAGTGCCCTGTGGCCACACATTGCTTGTGGCTGCTGTCGTAGATTGTACAGATACATGACATGTCCACCATTCAGTGTCCTGAACACAAGCTTTAGTTCACAAGGCTCCCTGTGTGTTAGAAAACCACGTTTGGAGTGACCACACACTCTTGTTATAAAATACATTAATTCATATGGATCAGAAGTCTTTTAGAACATGTCCATTCCAGGAAGACATTTGTGTGTCTTGTTAAACTTTGTTTTCTCTTTCTCTCTCCCTTCTTTCCTTCCTTCCTTCCTTCCTTCCTTCCTTCCTTCCTTCCTTCCTTCCTTCCTCCCTCTCTCCCTCCTTCCCTCCCTCCCTTCCTTCCTTTCTTTTCTTTTTCTTTTTATGCTGCAACTTTTACCGGCTACAGCCAGTGTCATAGGTCTGTCCTTCTGACACAGCGGAGTGTACCATCTCAAAAACGTTTGCCCTTTATTCTGGGGCTGCTGAGCTGTCTCTGTCCACTCGTTCTCTTTGCCTGACCCTTAGCAGGCTTGTTTGTGCAGCAGGCCTTTTTTATTTTTATTTTTTAATTTTAATTTTATTTTTTTAATGTTGCCTAGAGCTCTACAAAGAGTCTAGAAGTGAGAAGGGAATTTTCACCGCTTCTTCCTCCAAGCCCCATCTTGGCTCAGAAAAGTGTTTCATGAGAGGGTCTTGATCCACAAGCCTAACCTCCGAGGAGTTATCCCTTGAAGAATGAATCTCTGAAGCAAAGTTCCCAACTCATCTATTACAGCACAGATTTAGTGATTAAGCCCTTCAGCAACACGGAAGGCTTTTCTGTTGATATTATCTATTAATTTTACCAATGTTAGTTGCCCAGAAATTTTCATTTGAACAAATGAAAAGCTGGGGAAATAAAGACACATTTTGAAAAAGAGATGTAGTTGAAAGCTGAGGAGCCCACGGTTGTTTTGCATGGTAGAGGGAATTCGGGTGAGAAGCTCCTGCGCCATTAGTAGGATGGCTTGAAGAGAAAGGAGTAAGGCCTTGGGGGTGGCCTGGATCCTCTGGGTGATTCACTTCATGATGGTGGGACGGTATTGGGAGGGCGACAGAATGCTTGCTTTTTTATTTATTTTTCTTTCTATTGTGTTTTTTTTAAAAGACTGTTTTTGAGTGGTCTAGGTAGACACAAAATGGAGAGAGGAAAATACAAAGGTCATCTGTGCCCCAGTCCCTCCCACATACGTGTGACTGTCCTTATCGCTACCATTGCGTCTCTGTTACACTCTGTGAAGCTACGTTTACGTGGTAATTAGCCCCGAGACAGCGGTTTACGTCAGTGCGCAGACTGGCAGCTGCACATTCCTCGGACTCGGACTAACGCCTGGTGACACAGGCTCATCGTTACGGTCACAGGTCTCCCCGAAACCCCTCTGTGTCTATGCATGCAGACTTAGCTCCTTCCCTGCCTCACCCCGAAGCCACTAGAAGCCATTGATCCCAGGGCCACAGTTTTGTTTTTCATGCAGTTGGACTCACACAGTAGGTAACCCTTTGACATGCCCTTCTTTCACTCTGTAAATAACCGTTTAAGTGGTTTCCCATCTTTTTGTGGTTTGGTTAGTCATTTCTTTTGTGCACTCATTATATTCCAGAACATTCTCACTTATCTGTTCACTTCCTGAAAGAAATCTTGGTTGCTGTCAAGGTTGGCCTATCATAAATAAAGGTGCCCTAAACATCCACGAGCAGGCTTTTGGGTAGGCATGAGTTTCGTCTCTTTTCTGCTGGATGATTTTTCTAAGAATGTTTTGTTCTGTAAGAAACTGACAAACTGTCTTCTAAGACACACTACCATTTTATAGTCCCATTAGCAAGTAATGAGGCTTTCCGTGAGCTA